ATTATGGGGTACTGAGTGTAGATTAATGAGAAAAAAATTGATTTGAACAATTGGAGTTACAGGCTGGAACAATACCAAAATGAAAAAAGTGAAGGGGGTCTGAATACTTTCCAAATGCACTGTATGTACATTTTTAGATGAGAAATGAAACATTGAGCCTTTTCCAGCGCTGACAGTTACATGTCTGAAGTGATTATATGAATGATAATAACTGAATTATATACCTGAAAGACTAAGGAAAAGATTTATCAAATGGGCTCCCCTCTAAAATAAATATAAATGGGGCAGAAGCAGAAGCACACAAAATTAAACACACCCAGGCACACTTTCATTCTTCCCCTCTCTTCTCACACTTGCTATATCTACTGTCTCTACCATCTACATATTTTAAAGAATTAATAGCCTTATGCTACTTATGTTAAAAAGAACAGTAAGCTTACTACTGCAAACTCTGGGAAGTCACATAAATGTTAAATTGCTCTTTTACACTGTTCAAGCTGTAGGTTGTAGGAACGTTTATTGATTAAAAGCAATATCATTTATTTTCAGGTCTGGCTGAAGCATAAATCACAGTCTGCAGTTCAGCCAGGGACAGATGCAGCTAAACGTTCTTAGATTCCCATGGTTTGTTTTAGTAAAGCAGAATGTACCTTGCCCTAACACAGGTGACTGGCTCTCAAGAAAAAGAACATGAAAACAAAGAGGGGTTATTCTATTGGCAAAACTGTGTGCTCTACAACATTATAAATCAATAGCAAATCAAAATGATTATTTTCTGTAGTTTTAAAGTACATTAGAAAAGTACTAACATAGCAAACAAGACATTACATTTTGCAGATTCATTGAGTTTTGTTCAGAAACAATGTGCTTTGATTACATGGCAGAGGTATATTTATATGCAATGCAGGAGACAGAGGACTTTTATCTGGCCTATGTCAATGCGCTCTTGATTATTCAGACTGTTTTCTTCATGATTCCTTTAAAATATATGTTACAGTAGGAAAGAAAATGAATGACAGGAATCCACTGCTTCCACAGTAAAACAAGAAAGTAGGAAGTGCCATTCTTATTAGCAATTGTTTGTTTGCATGTTACCTGATGTACCCCACTTTTACTGTTGATCTCTTGATAATGCCCCACTTCCCCCACCCCTTCAATTGCTTTCCAGTGCAGTCAATAATTCCCATAATTGTTTCTTTTCAGAAGTTCACTTAGGGACAGTTCACATATAGGAAAAGATGTGAACCCACAATGGAAAACCAAAGCTCAAAAAATGGCTATATATTAAAAAAGAAAGAAAATGGTATAGACTGAAATCAAGTGTATCCTTACCAACACTTGTGAAGATCAGATGATGTTTGGGTGATTTCCCCTAATACGCAGTTTCCTATAAAAGAATAGCAATTTGGTTGACCAAAGATCTAAGCAACACTCTTTAAACTTTATTGCAGTGTGTGTTCAATTATATAATCAAAATATATAAACATATATATAATCTAAGCTAAAATCCAAGCAAGTATTACCAAAATTTTGTTGTGCATTTATTATAAAGTCTTAGGAAATCCTTAGCCCACTCATACCCACCCCAAGGCTATATAAAATATAAGTGTTATATAAAAGAAACATATTCTGTCTGAAGATTACAAACTTTGGTATATCTAGCTAGATTTCCCCTTAGTTCAGAATATCCTGGCAAAGGTTTAATAAAATCAGAGCTGTAATTAGCAGAGCTTTAGAGACAGACTGAGAAAATTCAAAATTAAACCAGGGTGACAAAAATATAATTTTTATACCTAAATTACATCTTCATCTGTATTTCAAACATAGCAGGAGATAAATATGAGATAAGGCCATCTTATAGAGTTCTAGAAATGGGGATTAACCTTGGCTTTTTTGTCTTAGAGCTATAAATATGATTTGATATTTAAAGTGAGTTTCCCTCCCTCTCTCTCCCCCTCTCCCTCTCTCTCTTTTGTGTTAGGGTTGACTCTTGGTGATTGCCTGGACTACTCCCTGCAGTTTTCTTGGCAAGATTTCAAAAGTGGCTTGCCATTGCCTTCTTCCTAGGGCTGAATGAGAGCAACTGGCCCAAGGTCACCCAGCTGGTTTTGTTCCTAAGGCAGGACGAGAACTCACGGTCTCCCAGTTTCTAGCCTGGTGCCTTAACCACAACAGCAAACCGGTTCTCTTAAAGTATCTAGCAGTTGTTAATTTATTCAATTTATAGTCTCTCTTTAAAGCTAAACTAAAATGTAGATACCAGTCTTTGTGGTGTAGCCTTTTTGAGACTTTTTCAGTTTCTTACTATTTATACAATATTAGCCTGGTTAACAGTGTGAAAAATTGCACAATCCTTTGTTGAATCTTGGTTAATCACAATCAGTAGATCATTCACTATAATTTTGGATTTATCCTTCCTCAGGTCCATTCATACCTGTGTTTGCTTTTTATCAAATCAATACAGAGTGAGCCAACTGCTCCTCCACTTATCCAAATGCACTCACTAGTTGCAAAGTTCACAAGTTCAGAAAAGAATTCTATGAACGTTTATTATTGAACAGATTTCAGTTCAAAATAACCATCATCAATAAAAATATTTTTATTAAACAGATTCAGTTCTATGTTAGCATACTTACCTTCAACTCACTTAATTGCCTTTAAAAAACATTTAAAACTATAGGCCATTTATATGATGAAAATATGCATTTATTCAGTAAAATCTTATAACACTTTCAAATATTTAACTATGCTCAAGGGCTTGTACTGCTTAGAGTTTATGTCAATCTGTTGGTGTGGATAATTGCAAGTAATTATTTCTTTTATAGCTCACTTTATTCCAAGTAGTCAGTGTAAGTAGCAACTTTTTAATTACAAAGCCCCAGTTAGCTGGGATTAAAGCCTTAGCTTACATAAATTCAGTTGCCCACTAGCAAAACCAATTTCAGTAATGATGGCATAAAAATAACTTCTAAAGTTACATCAAATATGTTATGTCAAGGATGAGCTGCAGTATGAAGGTAGGACTTACTCATGTCTGCATTTTTTGCTAAAATATATCTATTTGTTGATTAAAAGCAAAGCAGGGGGAAAAAAACCCTAACTATTCAAAATCATACTTGATTTAAGTCTACTGACACTTTACCCAAAATATTTGAACATTATTACTATACCCTTCTAAGATGTATACCAAAATGTTCTAAGAGATTCCTTCCAACCATATAATATATTCCTTCCAATCATTTATTTCCTATCACAGCAAAATTTAGAACTGCATCCAATAATTCCACTGACTTACAATGGTGCTTAAAAGTTTGTGAATTCTTTTGAGTTTTCAATATTTCTGCATAAATATGACCTAAAATGTGATCTGTTCTCCACACAAGTCCTAAAACTAGATAAAGAGAACCCAATTTAAAAAATGAGTCAAAAACATTATATTTATTCATTGATTTATTGAGGAAAATTATCCAGACCTACATATTTGTGTGTGGTAAAAGCACGTGAACCTTTGCTTTCAGGAACTGATGTGCCCCCCTTGGGTCGCAATAACTGCAACTAAATGTTTCTGATAACTATTTATCAGTCCTGCACACTGGCTTGGAGGAATTTTAGCCCATTCCTCCTTACAGTACAACATCAACTCAGGGTGTTGCTGGGCATCCTCACATGAACTGTCCGTTTCAGGTCCTTCCACAACATTTCTATAGGGTTAAGATCAGGACTTTGACTTAGCCATTCCAAAACAGTAACTTTCTTCTACTTTAACCATTCTTTGGTCGTATGACTTGTGTGTGTTTAGGTCATTGTCTTGCTGCATGACTCATTGCCTCTTGAGCTTCCATTCAAGGACAGATACCCTGAAATTTTTCTGTAGAATTTGCTGGTACAATTCAGAATTCATACTTCCATCAATGATGGCAAACTCTCCTGATCCAGACACAGCAAAGCAGGTCCAAACCATGATACTGCCACTACCATGCTTCACAGATGGGATAAGGTTCTTATGCTGGAATGCTATGTTTGCCTTTCACCAAACATAACACTTTTCATTCAAACCAAAAGGTTTGATCTCATCCATCCACAGAACATTCTTCTAATAGCCTTCTGGCTTATCCATATGGTCTTTCGCAAACTGTAGACAGGCAGCAATGTTCTTTTTGGAAAGTAGTAGCTTTCTCTTTGCAACCCTGCCATGTACACCATTGTTGTTCAGTGTTCTCCTGATGATGGTCTCATGAACACGGACATTCACCAATGCAAGAGAGGCCTTTAATTCCTTAGATGTTACCTTAGGGTTCTTGGAGACCTCCTGGAGTATTACATGCCTTGCTGTCAGTGTGATCTTGGATGGTCGACCACTCCTGGGAAGGGTAACAATGGTGTTGAATTGCCTCCGTTTGTACACAATCTGCGTGACAGTGGACTGGTGGAGTCCACATTCTTTGGAAATACAGTAGAGTCTTGCTTATCCGACAAACGGGCCAGTAGAATGTTGGATAAGTGAAAATGTCGGACAACACACAGTAACAATTGAGTGCGGTAAAAAAAAAAAAAACAATCAGCTGCACCTGTTGCAATAGATTTTTGCATTGCAGCACCGCACTGTCAGGAGCAACAAGAAAGAGTACACTCACGCTCGCAAACAAGCAGCACACTTTTCTCATCACCAATTTATTCATGTTGTGTGTTTTTTTTAGGGGCATCAGATAAGACAGAATGTCGGATAAGCGAAGGTCAGTTAAACGAGACTCTACTGTAGTTTTGTAACCTTTTCTAGCCTGGTGAGCATCAACAACAGTTTTTCAGAGGTCATCAGAAATCTCCTTTGTTTGAGTCATGACACATTTCCACATACCTATGTTGTAATGAACAGACTTTGATGGTGAATACCCAGAATACTGTTCTTTAAATAAGGCAGGACCTTCTACACTCACACCTGATTGAAAACCTGACTCTAAGTTCCCCTTCTAACACCTGACTCTAATTGAAACACCTGACTCTAGTTTTTCCTTCAAATGAACTGATATTCCTAGAGGTTTACATACTTTTGCCACACACAAATATATAGCTTTGGATCATTTTTCTCAAAAATATCAATGAACAAGTATAATGTTTTTGACTCATTTGTTTAATTGGGTTCTCTTTATCTAGTTTTAGGACTTGTGTGAAGAAGAACTTGTGTTAGATCACATTTTAGGTCATATTTATGCAGAAATATTGAAAACTCAAAAGAATTCACAAACTTTTAAGCAACACTGTCAATGATATGCTTATTTTATTAATCTCAGGGTTCCACTTTAACTAAATTATAAATCCAAACTACTAGATATTAATAGAAAAAACAAATCATGAGATTACAATGTAAAAATCAGTTGTGTCTGAGAATTCAGCACTGAAACATTTTTAAAAGTTCTGATAGAAGGCACACTATTGCTTCTTAGTGCTAAGTAAAGCCATTTTCCCATGTTTTACTGAAATGTTTTCCAGAAACCTACTAGTCCTTTATGTGCAGGAGTATTCTGGAGAAGAAAAAAAACTTCTTAATTTGAACTGAACAGGAGAATATAAAATAATATTCAGCTAGAAGGGAACATAATGGTTAACATAATTTGAGATGCATGTCAGCCAAATACAAAAATGAGGATGCTTTTCACTATTACATCATTTTAAAAATGTATTACCAGAAATACTGATTTATTTTATTTACTCAAACATACAGGCTGCCTCAATGCAGGTACAGCTCTAGGCATCTTACACATTCTAAAAGATTAAAAATAAATAAATGAATAAATAACTAAGAATTACCAAGCCCCACATTGGGGAAATAACAAAACCAATTACAGCATTGTAGAAGATATGTCAAGAGCAGAATCACAATTCACTCTGCCTCAGATCTGCTGAAGCAGTCAACCAAGCTTTGTGGAAACACAAGAGTTGGGGTTTCTTGTAAGTGCATTTATATTTATAGATAACTCAATTTATACCCCAAATAATGTTCTTTAATATATTTTGTATTCATATTTATAAATCATCACAATTAAGCTCCATGGGCTTATTATTAGAAGGCAATTTTTACACATGTTCTTGAGACCCCTTACAGATGCATTTGAGTCCTTGAAGCATTATTAGATTAAGTACTAAGGCTCAAACCAAATAGCAAAGAAAGTATTTTTCCAAATTTTATTCCTTCTCCTGCTGGATAACATTATACCATTACATATTTTAAGACAATACATCATGAAATGTCTGCATTAATGAGTATGTTAAAATTCCACAGCCTCACCACTTTTATTCATAGCTAAACTCACTTTAGATGCTTTCCCTTTTGACACGCTATAATGACTCAGGCAAAGAATCAGACTACATGATGGATTCAGGTCATTCAAT